ACCATACATTCTGACAGCATCTGTGTAGAAATATATCCATATATTTATTAATACAGCTGGGATTTCGATATTCTGACAAATTATTCCGCCTACCGGTAACAGTGTCTTATTTTGAAAATACAGCTGTTGTGCTCGTTCCTCTTCCTGTTGGTGCGACATAATCTTTAAAAATTGACTCCAGCGCAGCTCAGGCGTCTGGCAGAAATAGGATCAGATGTAATTTTGCCGGATTGCCGTCCGCTCACCGCCACCCTGCACAGCCAGTGTAAACACTGTCATTGATTATGATGGGTGTGTGTTTGCTGCGGAGGTCGGACCGGGGCGGAGTGGAGCCGGAACACATGTAGTGTAAATTAGGTGTCAAACTTGAATGTTTATTTACACACATATAAAGGTTTTCACAGCGCTGTGGCCCCCCTGCTGGCAATTGTCATTTTTGTCCCACAGGCACCTCAGGGGTAAGGAAAGTTTGAACTGACCATAGCCGTGTTTCCATCAGCATTTTTTAATGCACATTTTAAAGTAGTGTCTTAATGGTACCGGTACTGGTACCAGAGCGACTGCAACCGTGACTGGCAGCAGGACCCTCCTCCCACTGTCCGCGTCTTCTCAGTTATTCCCGTAATGTGAAGAGAATTGCATTTCTTTCTCAACGTCTCCAGACAGCAGTAACACCACCAGAACTAGTTGATATGACAGAATAAGTACAACTTTCCCAATAGTGGCAATGTGTTCCTGATAACTTCTCTCCATGGTCCTGAGATATGTGGACCCTGCGAGTTTGCGATTTTTACTTCCTGTTTACTACGTATGCATCTGACGTAATTGGCTGTGTCCAAAACAACAGGCCGGGTCCCCCGAAGGCCGAATTCATTGGCCGCATACGTCACAGCACCGCGACGAAGGMCGTCCAAAACCGAAGACTCCTTCAATGTGGCCGACAAATAMGTCCTTCCTTTGGCCCGAATCGAAGGACTGGTCTCATGGATCCTTCCCGGCCCAGCATATCCCATAATGCATTGTGGCCCGACCGGAGATTTTTTTATGCCAGTAATGGCGGACGAAGCGAGAGAAAAGAATATGTTTTAAACAAAAATATGGTGATATAAAAATTTAAAATTTCAAGCGTTTGTAATTTTAATACTTTTATCATTTGTATAGACATTATTATTATTACATTAATATAATTTTTGTCAGAAAAAAACAAACTTACATAGTGAAATAAACATGCACCTATGGCGGGTCCATTGGTTCTTCAAGTTACTTTTATTGTTTTGTGATATTAATAACACTAATATATTTAGATATTTTTAATTTTGATCTAATTTTGCTTCTGTTTAGTGTCGTCACGGTTGCTAGATGACTGGATGTACGCTAGGGTAAGGACGGGAGGCTAGACCGTCCAAATTCACAGACACTTTTTTCCAGTCTTCCTGGTCTACCAAGGACCTGGCCCACCTCGATCGGGTAGGCTGGGTCCTCTGGAGGACCCGGCCTGTCGTTTTGGACACAGCCTATGATTTGCTTCAAGCCAGTTGATGGAAACATGTCTGATTCACATTACTTCATTTTTTCCTTTGTGCGAACTTCTAAAAATTCACTCAAAATTCTAATTAAAATTGGATGGAAACACGGCTTATGATTCTGGCCTGATTTCCATAAGTGAAATGGAAGTTTTTGTCCTTTCGGGATTTTTCTACATTTACAAATATTTTAAAAAGCACAAATAATCTTTGCTTTAGGAAGATTCAAAGAAAGACTGCACTGCAGGAATAGTCAAATAAATATTCTCTAACTATTAATACATCTCTAACACATGGTGTGAAAGTATATTTATATGTTAAGATTGGGCTTTTTGAGTTTCAAAATTTGTCACACACCAGAGAAGATTTAAACAGTTTATTGAGAAAGTGGAGCAGACTTGCGTAACCGGAGTCCTCCTAGCGAGCGGCGCAGTCGGGGAAATACCTTGGATGACGTCACCAGACAGAGGTGACGAAAGGCGAGGATCCNGCTAGAAGATTTACTAGGTGGAACCGTTCGATAATCAGGCACTGATGCTGTGGAGGAGTGGAGCTTAAATACTGAGGGACGCAGGTGAGTGAAATGAGTGTGATTGGGATTTCTGTGACGGGGGGGGCTGAGGCAATGAGCAGGGCGAGACTGACAGGAGCAGGAAATGGGCATGACAGGGCAGACAGGAGCAGGATCATAACATTATATGAGCATTTGTATACACACAGTATACATAGAATTAGATAAATAGATAATTTAAATAGATAATTAGATAGATAATTAAATAGATAATTAAATAGATAATAAATTAAATAGATAATTAGATAGAATTAGATAGAACTATATAATAAATATAAAGTGGCACAGTTGGTAGAGCAACATATTGCCTCTAAGGGCTGCGTCACACATCAGGATAATTGTGCTGAATTCTGGCCCTTATGAATATTTTTAGGAAGTCCAGATTATGACTCTAAAGACAATCATAGCAGATATTCCTGCTATGGTTGTGAGTTAAGAGTGATCTAGTCGGCTCAGAAGGACGTTGGGACCACTCCGACCTCAAATCTGGGATATTCAACATGTTTGATTTTTTTTTGCCCGATATCACACGATGTGTGGCGTTCGCTCGAGAACAAATGAGCTTGCAACCTGCTGAATGTGTATCCGATAAGAAAGCGAGGTGACGTAAACACAGAGGGGATTCCAAAATACAGAACACAACAAAAAAAAAACTGTCATGACTCAGCAGAAAGTCTGCTGGAGGTTAAAAGTCTTAAGGAATTGTTTTTCCTCTGGTAAAAACAGTCCACAAACGATCAATATTGTTTCTTCCTCGTCGCAAGTGTTTATTTACTCTGAACTCAAATCTCTCTGGAGGTCATGCAAGATTATTCCTCTGACATCTGAATTCTCGCGAGATTTTAAGAAGTCTCCTGAGATTTCACATCTGACATCTGAATGTTCATGAATGAAATGTTTCGTGTGTGGTGTGTTGTCTCTTGCYGTGTGTCTGTACATCACACACTGYAGGACCAAACCTGTTATATCCATGATTTTTCATCCTCACGTGTGAGCTCTATCAGTCTTTGAMAATCGGTCGAAAATCTTGCAGTGTGGCAGTCTTAAGGAAGAAGATTGCTAGATCAACTTTCTGGGTTGTGTTTACATGTTCTCCCCATGCAGGAGTGGGTTTTCTCCAGGTACTCCAGTATTTTCTCACAGATCAAAATCGTATTTATTATATGACATAAAAAAAACAAATAACTTACTGTAGTAGTTTGGGATAACACTACAGTAGATGTAGCTTGTAATTATCCTTGTTTTAGTCTTTATTTCCAGTTTTGGGTTTTATAATTACAGTTTTTCTTCATGAAAGCAAACACCAAAAAGCAAACAAAACTTTTAACATACATAGAAGAGGTGATGCCTTTGACATTTAAAAAGTTTGTTCCTTGTAAATGTCTTTAGAATATGTATTTTGACATTTTAAAATAAAATGACAGACACCACAGCAATCATTTTTGAAGGGAAGTTTCCCCATCACATTTGAAATTTAATTCATTTGAACCCCCACATTTACCATAAAATATTATTCACACAGTGTTGTTTTACTGCTGAACAAACAATTTCATTCCACTTGACCTATAGAATACTCRCATTGTTTTCCTATGTAGGGAAAAGTCTAACAACCTGTTAAAATACACCAGAATGCAGGAAAGCGCATTTACTCCTTCCAAAATTTTCTGGGGGAGGACCCCCCACCAGGGGGTCCCCCAACATTACAAATTCTTCTGATGCCACTGAAATATGTAACAATGTAAGTAYAACTTATGGTATTCCATGTGTAAAGATACAGAACAACTTAGAAGTGGACTGTTGTGGAAGTAGAGACAGTTTGGGTTCTTGTTTTTTGTCTCTGAACATCACAAAATCAGTAATATTATACATAAAATTACAAATTGAACATCTGTTGGCAAATCCATAGCTTTGTATTGCCAATAGTTTTCAAATTGTTAGTTTTACAACCACATCATAAAATTTCTGTTATGGATACGAGTTTTGGTGTGCCACCCCTGGTTTTTCAGTGCCCCCCTCGGGATTTTTTTTCTGCAGGCGCCACTGGTTATTAGGCACAAATAAACAATGAGTATGTTGGTTTTGGACTTCTTTATGGGTAAAGCATTAATAAATGTGTTATTTTATAGCTTATTAAGCACAAATCATTCTCAAATAATGATATTTTCAAGGTTAGCTAACCTTTTATTAATGATTCATTCATTAAGGTGTATATATTATAATATGTTGTATTGGGGAACCATATTATAGAATGGGTTGTAATGTTTTATGCAGGTTTTAATTTTCCAGAAGCAATCAAATAAAACAGAACACAAAGTTAGCAAATGGTAAATCCAAATATTTTGCATACTGTACAGCTTTGACAAAAAACAAAACAAAACAAACAAACAAAAAAACGTATATACAAACAAACCAATGTTTGTGTGGAAATTTGGACTTCACTTAATATAGACCTTTTTGGACCCAAGTAACTTCAGATATTTAGAAAATTGTGAAAACAAGGAACTACAACATACTCTTTTATATGGCCAAATGTTTWCTTCACAGCTCTGTGCCCGGCAGTTCCGGACAAATAACACATGCTTCAACAAGTAGCAGACTTTTTGCACCATTTCCAAGCAGGTAGGYGTTCCTTTCATGGTTAACCCTGTTTTTTCTCATGCATTAAAAAAAAACAAAACAGGCAACACAATAAAAAAGATGATTGAAGATTTAGTTTATACTTTGCAAGATACAAAATAAAGATATCTTTATGGGAAATAATTTTCTTATTTACAATACTGAGCATAAACCAAATAAAGCACTAAGTAATATTAATAATAAATTAAAGCATGCCCATCATTAAACCATGAGGAAAAGTCAAGTGAGCTATTTGTTTTGTGTCCACTTTTTTATTTATTAGAGGCTATTTTAAGTACAGGATAAAGCTTGTATTTTTTTATAATTTCAGCAGAATTGGGAATTCAAACCAGTTTAATTTAATTTATTTATGGATTGAAATTCAGAACTCATTATATTAATGCACTTAATAATGTTTTCCCTCTACAGATTCAGTGCATTTGTGATTTAGCATACCATGCAATGTGAACCAAGCAAAGTATTGTTGATAGAAGACTAGCATAGTTGTGGAAAGATGAGAATAGCATGTTAGGTGAGAATATCTGGAAAAGGGTTTTTGGTGACCAGAATTCTCAGCTTAATGCACAAGTTAAATTAGGGATTGATAGCAGTAGACATATCCATAGCACCATGGCAGCAACACTCCTGGACAGCAGTCATTCAGGATTACTGGAAGCCCATAATTACAGTTCAGTTATCTGTCCTTGGAAAAATACAATGTCTGTATACATTAAATGAATTGACAGAGATTATTTCAACATCACAGTCTACTACGAATCAGGTGAAAACCTTTGAGGCGCAGAGTAAAAATTGATTATACACCAGTAGGTCTCAAACATGAGTCTCTTTGTATTATCTAGTGGGGACCACCTTCTTGGTGTTAGACCTCCCCTTAGCCACAGTGGCTTCTTTTGGTCTGGTCTTGGCAGACATGGAGGTGGAGGAGGACTGTGCAGTGGYGTCCTGTGAGGTGCTTCGTCGCATGGTTGTTGTAGTCCTGGGTGGTAGCACTGGGACAGTAGGAGCTCGGATTGAAAGGGGCTGCCTGGACGGACATGCTCTTTGAGGGGAGGGACTGTCAGTTCTGCAGTGAGTAGAACTAAGGCTGCGACGTGTTCCAAGCAGGACACGTAGGGGCATTCGAGGACTACCAGGCTGAGCAGAGACACCTGATGGACGAGGACATGAGGAGGAGGATCGGAATGAGACAGGCTTGGGTTTTCGTTGGCAGCTTAGTCCAGTTTTCTGATTTCTGTGGACAAAAAAGCATAKTGAATGTGTTACTTTAAAGCAGTGATGCCCAAAGTCAGTCTTCAAGGGCCGTTGATCTGCTTGTTTTAGGAGCTGCCCTGGTTCAACACAGCTGAACCTAAGGAGTGCCTAATTAGTAAGCCTCTGCAGACCTTGATGGCATACTGAGGAGGCCTACTAATTAAGCACTACTTCAGTTCAGCTGTGTTGAACCAGAGCTATACCTTAAACATGCAGGRCACTGGCCCTTAAGGACTGATTTTGGACACCACTGCTTTAAAGGAAATAACTGAACAGATATTTTCAAAGGTAAATTATGTGCACAATAAAAAAAAGAAATTATAGAATACCCATTGATGACGGCTGATGTTCCTTTGGTACTGTTGGGGTCTGGCACAGAGAGAGGAGAAGCAGCAGTAGCATCTGGACCAGCAGGTCTTTTTATGGGAGTGACAGGTCTGGGAATTTTACTCCTGCATCCTTTGGAACCCTGATCCTCAGCCTGTTTAAGATGGGAGTTCCTCTTTGATTCATCTGAGGTATGCATGTCCTCATCTGAGCCTGTAGTGGATAACATTTCTGAAATCCTCCAACGTTCATCATCTCCAGAGGACAATGACGATGACGTGCCCGACAACATCCTCCTCCTCATCCATCGACCCTGTTGCTCCTGGACCAGTAAACGTGTCAAGTCAAGCTGCCTGGCCCGCTGCTGAAGCCGAGCTCGAGCTGACAAGGAGGAAGACTGTTCAGACCCTGAATCCTCACTGATAAGTATGGGAATTCTGCTTTGCATTTTCGGCTTAATGGCAGCTGGTAAGTCTACTCCAGCAGTCTGAAGCTTCAAAGCTTTATCARTGGATGATCGTTGTTTCTCAAGTTCTTGAGACAGTGCTTTGTGATCATGAACTGGTAAGGAGTCCTTGGGGACAGGCTCCAAAGAAAGGGCCAGAACACCTGTTTCTGTTTTTAATTGTTTGTCATCTGTTAAGGTTTGATCTTGTACCCGCTCCTCTAGAGTCTGTTTTGTCACTGGTACTTCCACATGTTCATGGTTGCCAACATCTATGGACAGTTCCTTTGTAACAGTAAAGACTTCTTTGTCACTGTCCTTTATAGAGTGACCATTGGAAGACATAACATTGAGGTGTGATGTCTCTGCAATATGAATGAAAGTGCGCTCAACTTTGGTGAATGGTGGTGATCCAGGAGCAATGTGAGTTGAGGGTCTCAGCTCTGACAAGTGGCCAGTCTCAGAGGGTACAGTCTGAATCCCCTCCCCAACCAGAAGATGATCTGTATGAGAGGTTGGTGCAGACGGTGTTGCCAAATCACCCTCTAGAGCATGACCCCCACCAGAGGGAGACTTGCGGGTATCTCCGGGTGAGAAAAGAACAAGGGTTTTGGACACGTCCTCCAGATCAGGATCAGCATCAGCAGCTGAGACATGTTCCTTCTGGCTCCTCTGATCCTCTGCCATGAGGGTTGAAGGTGCAGCATCTTGGCTACGTTCAGTACTTTTTTGACTAGTTTCACTGTTGGACTCACTCTTTGTAACATCATCATCTTTTGGCCCAGGAGGTTCTGGAACCTCTTCATCTGGTGTGGCAAAACTCCGGCGCTGTGGCAAGGTGCCAGTCAACATTACAGTAAGAAAGTCAGCCCTCTTAGCCTGCAGCTGAGGAAGAATGTGGAAATGCTCCATCTCATCACTCTGACCTTTTGTTCGATAATCTGGAGAGGATGGTGATGGGGGTTTTTGCTCCGTGGGTGACAACACCTGAAAGCAATTCAATGACACTTAATTTCTACCAAGTCAACAAGAAAAATGATGAAATAATAACATGCAGTTCTGAGAAAACTAAATTTCTGACAGAAGTGTTAATTGGGAAGCTACTCAACCAAGATACAATTAAAATGCACAAACTCACTGTACACTGTAGCCCTCATTAGTAGTTTGTACACAAATGGCTTAAAAAGTCACATATACTGTACATATGTCATAAA